CAATGATGACCGTTGACCGTTGACTTTGACCAGTCAACATTGACTGTTGACTTTTTGAGTTGACTTTTTTCGGGTTTTCATCTGATACCCCTCCTAGGCTCATTCAAACGTCAGTTTACCAAATTCAATCGTTTAGATAGAGTTTTATTAATTGGACCATTTATGTGCTTAGGTGCAATTACTATCGGAGATTCTAGCTTCCTAGCTTGAACGGATGTGACTTCACAAGTATCTATGAGTGGGCAGTTTGTTTTTATACCTATATATATATTATAGTTTCCCTGAATGCGTATTTACTTCATTTTACGCTTATATGCCAAGTATCATTATTGTGATGTTAAATGTGATAAATGCTACTATATGGTTGGGATATTACTATCATGACATTCATATATATTGTACTTGCTCATCATTGTTGCACCAGTGTTAGTACTCGCCCCAGGGCCAGGGCTAGTCTTTCACGTGTATGTTCACATCACACCGCATGCTCGCCTTGGATCCAATCTAGGTGATAGTCCTGTCATATATTGCATTAGGCAATTCCGACTCGTATGTGACGCACCTCGGCGCCAGCCTTCACGTGATCGTAGTACTAGAGCGTATAGATTACACCTAGTCCTGTTCGTGGCAAAAATTATTTGTACGAACTCGTGTGCTAGTGTAGATGGATGAGCACTTAGTTATACTTGATTATCACATTATTATATTACTATGGCATTTGATATATCATGACTTGGCATATTTTTGGTTATATTACTGTTGTACTGTTGTTTACATACTTACGTAATATGTTTTAAGGAAACTATACTTGTTTAACAGCAAGGGGTTACTATCTTCGAAAGTAAAGGTTTTTACAAAACGTTGTTTTGCTAACCCACTCAACTTTGTTTTTCACCCATCCAGGTTTAGTAGTTGTGCTTACGTGTAAACGAGGACTATGGCAAGATATCTTTAGTGGTATAACCCTCACCCTAATTACTGTACTGTTCTTATGCTCTATCATCATGTGTGAAATGGGTTCAATCCCGCTCACCCACGCACTTTTTTGATTAGGCACTTTTAGGTTTAAATTTATTCACTTTTTCCACATCACTACACTTTATGGCTCCATCACCTTCCAGGTGTCAGCGAGCATAACTTGATTCAGAGTCCAAGTGGACATTTCGGGTTGGGGTGTGTCAACCAAACACCGAACCGAAACCAAAAATCGAAAAAAATTTGAATCAAGAAAGGAAAAACCAAACTGAACCGAACTTTATTGGTCCGGTTTCAGTTTTGGAGGTTCGAAAACCGAACCAAACCGAATCCCTTTACACGTTATGGATGTATGCCCATAATGTTTCTTTTGTGAAACTTTGTTGCCAAGTTTGAAACTAAGCATATGACGTTTTCAAGGAGCATACTTGGTAATTATGGTGGATATTTCATTGGTTATAGAGGAAAGTTTTGGAAGGCTTTGGAACTTAAAAGAGCTTCTATATTGGTTTGGTTTTTGAATGGATATGGTGATCATTTTTCTTTGCAATTGAGGTTGTTGATAAAATATGATTGGTTTATATGATCTTGTATATGTACAACTACCTTCCCACTTTTCCCATTTTCTTATTATTAGTCTACTAATGCAAAATCTCTTTTCTAAATTCCATATTAAAAAAGATCAAGTTTTATAATAAAAAAAAAAAAAAGAGAACCCATATCGAAACCGAGCAGAACAAAACTAAATCGAAAAAAATTGAACCGAAACGAACCAAAGTTTTGATTCGGTTTCAGTTTTAGCAATAAACCGACCCATCCCTAGCAAGAACTGCACGCTCTAAATGACCTAATGAGAATGGGCCCAAAAGGAAACCCAGCCCATAATAATCATGCCTAACAACCCATTAGAAAATGTAATAGGCCCAATAACCTAGAGTCCAGCCAGTCTTCTCCACCTTGCAATAGCTCTCAACCTTGATAAACGAATAATGCTACAATTATCATCTATTTGTATCATCTCTCGAATAGATGTAGAACCCACCAACACATGTAGGTCCCTTCTTAGTAAGAGAGATGGTGTTAAACCCCACCCCCATATTTTCATCCTATTTCTATTTTTCCCCTAGAACATATTTGTTATCTATCAATTTAGTCCCTTATTCTCTTTTAATCCTAACCCTTGATCTAGAAATGCTATTGTCCTTAAACTGCCATGTGGCAGTTCTCAGATCCCTCTTTCCTTCCATCTCTTCCCGAAACACATCTCAGAACCTCTCTCTCTTTTTATGTTTCTTCTCTCTCTCTCTAACTCTCAAAAACTCTCACACTCTCTAAGCTCCAAGAGCTTCTCTCTAACTTTCACCTCACTTCCTTCACAAATCAAACCCCAAAACCATATATTTGGAATCCTTGAGACTTAACGAACTCAACGATACCCTTGCATGCGTCATCAGAGCACCGTGGGTTTTTCTGCCATTGAAGCCGAGAGCTTCAAAGCTCTAAAACTCGAACCCAGGTGAGAATGGTGTTCCTTCTTCAAATTTCTGGGTTGTGCATGTTGGTTTTATGGCAAAACTCAAGGGTTTTGATCTCAATTTTTCTCTATGCTAATAATCTAGCTCCGACGACGAACTCCGGCGAGTTCGAGGTCCATTTCTTCCCAAAACCTGCTGCAGTGCATCCAGGTGAGTTCTTAGGTATATTTGTGAAGTTTTAGAACCCTTTATTCAAGCCGTAACCCTTGCCATCCCTTGTGCATGCATGTCCGGTTCCGACGACGAACTCCGGCGAGTTCGTGAGTGTGTGTTTGTGCAGTGTGTACGGGATGCAGGTGTGTGTGTGTATGTGCAGGCGTGTATGCATGTTCGTGTGTGTGTGTTTGGTATGTTTGGTCTGTGCAAGTGTGTGTGTGTGTAAGTATTTGTGATGATGTATGGTGCATGTGTGGGCATATGCATGATGTGCAGGTGTGTGTTTGGGAGCTGCTTGTGTGTGTATGTAGTGCATGTATGTGTGTTGTGGGGGTGAGTGTGTGCCGTGTGTATGTGTGTGAATGTACGGTGTGTGTGCATGTGTGTGGTGTAGTGCATGCATGTGTGTGCACGTGTATGGTGTGTTGCGTGTGTGCGTGTGTAGGCGTGGTTTGTGTATGTGTATGTGTATGTGTATGTGACGTGAGTGTGTGTGTGTGTTATATGTGTATTGTGCATTTGTGTACAGTGTTGTGTGTGTGCGTGCAGTGCATGCTTATGCATGCCGTGTGTGTGTGTGAAGTGCATGCTAATGCATGCTCTGTGTGTGTGTGTATGGTGTGTGCCGTGTGTGTATAAGTATGGGGGGTTTAAACCCAAACCACCTCTTGATCCTAACCTATCCAAACCCAAAGCCCATTTCCATTTCCTAAAATTCTATCTTTTGGGCAGTTTATTAAATTGTACATTTTTGTGCTTAGGTAAAGTTGCTAGTGGAGACTTCCTTAATCATTTTCCGCACAATTCTGCTGCTTCGGAGTATCTGTGAGTGGACCACCTTCAAAAATTGCATGTTTTATTTATAGAATTGCATATATAAATAGCATGCCTTGCAGATTGACTGATTTGAGGAATAATTTACAGGAAGCATGATGATTTGATTATGATTGATTATATACATATTTTGAATTATTTTCATTATATTGTATTTTCTTCAGAACCCTCATTCTGGTAGACTATCTGATCGATGACGATAGGATGCTAAGAATGTTGTTTCAAATGATTTTTGAACACCTCTTCGTAGTATAGAGGATCGATGAATTTATGCTACGAAGTTGTATTTTAGAGATGAATTATGTTTTGTGTGTACCGAATGAACACTATGCCGCTTGGGGCGAGGATCTGGTATTGGCATTAAGGCCGGGAGAAATAATCCCTAGCGAAATGCTGAAGGACACGGAGACAGGCATTGGGCCGGGAGGGAGATATCTCTGGCTACGGGCACAGAGACTGAGGTGCAGGCATTGGGCCGGGAGTATTATTATTCAGTGCACTCACTAGCAGCACAACTTGTGATATGCTTCCTGATATGATTTCTGAGATTGATTTGCAGAATGAGATTGATTTGCAGATAGATATATGATTTGTTTTTATGGCATGCTAGAGGTTTTGAGAAACCTATCACTTATTATTTAGTAGTTTTCATCATATTAATTGTGGGGGTTAGTATGTTCATAACTGTTTTCGTATTATGTATGTATATAAACTTGGTCCACTCACCCTTGTTTTACGCCCCCATTCAGGATTTAGAATCAAGGCACATAATCCCCGCATCAAGGTATTTCTGCAGCAGCATCTTCGAGTCCTCTCGGGGTAGGACCCACTCTTTTGTTCTTTCAATCTTATCTTAATTCTTGTTAGTGACTAGGTTTAGTTATATGCTCTGAACACGTTCCTAAATTGTTAATTCATTGTTTTTAAATTCATAACCCGTATTTATTTCTTATTCCTAGCTTTTGTATCAATTAATGGCTTTCGTCACCCTCGGGTGTCGACCAGCACGTGTCTATCCTGGTATTAGGAGAATATCAGGGTCGGGGCGTGTCAGATGGTACAAAGGATGATATAAATAGATAGTAAGAATAACATTTTTGTTGATAAACAGGAAAGCAAGTATGAATGTTGACTGACTGTTAAGAGTGGTTAAGTGGACTTTAATACACTAATTCTGAATTTGAAAAGACGATTTTATCTTTTATCTAATCCGATCTACCGGTAACTAATTAATTAAAGAGTGAACACTATAAGTATAAATATACTAAATTAATCATAAGAATTAGATCAGCAGATGTTCTTAATCACTTAAATTACAAGTCAGTTGATGCACGCTATAGTATTTATCTATTAAAATTAACTTCAACTTATGCTGCTGGGACATATTGCCACCAAAAGAAAAAGACTGAAGCAACATTTATGCCACCTCACTTAAAACTTCTTGTGGCTGTCACCTGCAGCTTTAGCTGTCCAAAAATCAGATACATATTTTGTGCAATATTTGCAGAACTCAATATGAAATAATCCTCCATCTTTGTTACTTAAATGCGTATTGTTTAATTTGTCGTAAGTACTGAGATTATTACTCTAATATTTGTACACATTAAACACAAATGTCTTGTGAAAAGATAGAGAAATTTGCATAGACAAAACTTGATAAGACCTATATATATTTTTATGCTCGTATCTTTTCCTTCCAATCTAGAACTATGAATATATTATCGTTCATACTTCGGCATAATTCTAGGTTGCACGTAAAATCCTTAAACTTTTATCATCTTCTGGAACCTGATTAGGCTACAAACAAACGAGCCCATCTTTACCAATCAGTCTTTGTCTAAGCTGTATGTTCACCGGTCTCATCTGTGGTCTGCATTCGTTTCCTACTTAATCTTGTAGCAATCAAACATATGAGAAAGATGGCAGGCAAAAGGGACAGTTTGATAGGATTATCAGCGCGCCGAATGTAATAAAAGTATTGAACTATCGAGCAAACACACTGAGCGATGCCTCCGAGTAACCCAAAAATTTCATTGGCAGAACCAAAAAGCATGTAACATCCCATCTTCCTCCGCACCACGTTATGTTTCCTGCCTTTGTAAATCAGCTCCCATATGCAAGTGAGTAGAGCTGCAATAGCGAAGAGCATTCCGAACAGGGCATACCCCGGCCTTCTTGGGGACGAAGCCTGATCAAAAGCAGCTGATAAAATCTCCATGCAAAGGCTAGTGACTAAAAATATCCACTCTGCTGAATTTGCCTGCATATTAAATTAGTAATGAGTTCAATTAAAAGATCTACAAATAATTAAGCAAACGAAAGGCTAAACTATATTTTTGTCCGTCAAACTGAATACCATGTTGTTAACTGATGAAATTGTGCCCAAAATCAGATTTTCTCCACATGGTTTGACGGAAACATTGCATGGTGGTTGCATCAAAGGTTATAAACTGAAGAAAATTCTAAAACCGCTGGCAGAATGACAAACATGTGGTTCCACTTGATCAATGCCTAAATTTGAAGGAAATGCGGTTTTGGACTCAATCGTAATCGTTACTCAACAGCCGTATAGGTATTGCTTTAAGTGCTAAAGTAGAAACTGTAGTTACGAAATTGAAACATGGTTCAAATTGAAAGAGCGAAAACTGTAGCATTTAGCAAAACAAAAATGTTGGTTTACTATATGTGATGAAGGCTTATGCAGTTGGAGTACCTCTGTCCTAGCGGAGCGGCGTTTTTGATGTGATTCTCTCCCCTTCTGCCTTAATTGTTGTAGTAAACAAATTGGGAGAATGCCAGCAATGGAGGGTAGCTCCCAAATATTGGTATGTAATATGTGATGCCATTCCTCAGAACCAGAAGTTGTGCTTCGTAAGAGACCCCCTAGTGCTCGTGCAATTAAAGGCAAACCATTGCACTTGCGAATTGCAGTTTCCCTATCAGTTTCTCGAATGTTTGAATGTTCAGTGGGGTTACTGTCTCCCAAAGCATGTTTTAAAATCAACGACCAACAATCTTCATCGGACAGCGGCTCTAAGTAGTGAGTAGGTACATTGCGCACGATTGAAGCAACTGTTTCACTCCGCGTTGTTATCACGACCTTACTTCCCCCTGCCGCATAGAGAAAAGGAACTTGCAGGAGATTCCAATCATGATAGTTCTCATTCCAGAGGTCGTCCAACACAAATAAGAATCTCTTTCCCCTCACTTGGTGTTTTAGCTGGACCTGAACAAAATTTAGATCGGTAATGTCACAAACAGTCGAAGTGATTGACTCGAGCAGGGTTTTAGTGACCCTAACAGCATCAAAATCTTCGGAAACGCAAACCCAAGCTTGAATATCAAAATGCTCTTTCACTCTTTCATCGTTGTAAACGAGTTGAGCAAGTGTTGTCTTACCAATCCCGGCCATTCCTACTATAGTAATGACAGAAACATTATTCCTGCCTTCGGCATCAGAGATCAACAGTCTTATCAACTCTTCTTTATCATCATCTCTACCAACTACAAAAGATTTATCAACCAAACAAGTTGTTGGCATTTGTGAAACCTTCCGAACACCTTTTTGAAGACCAAGAATGTCCTTTTCGTTTGCAAGGAATTTTAATCTATGATATAACTCCTTTATCCTCCTATCATTCAAGCGTTGGTCAAAACGACTGAAAGGCACAGAGAGGAAGTTCCACACCTGAGTTACAACGGACTGATCTTCTGCTGCCATCTTAAGCCCCAAAGCTTCAGCTTCGATCTCATCCAGAAGGACCCCCGCATCATAGACCGCTTCTCTCAATTCATCAAGCCAGTTTCCGATGGAAGGGATTGTTGACTGATATTGACTCAAGTGAATGCCACATAATCTGCCATGTCATCTATATTTCTGTTAAAAGTTAGTTAGGATGGTTATGTGTGGCTTACACAGTAAGCAAGGTAGTTAGACTACTAGAGGAATATAAAAGGCCGATGGCAGCCTAGTGTTTGTATGAAATAAACATTTGATCAATACAAAACCTTTCATATTCTTTCTAAGCTTTCTTCTAGATTCTCTATATTTCTTCTTCTTTCTTTCTTCTGCAGTTCTGATCTTCATTGTTAAGATGGTATCGAGCCAAGGTTGAATTTTTTTTTTGGGGTTCTTTTCTTCCGCTGAGTAATTCTTGGAGATTGGTTGTTGAAGGCCTTGTTGGAGTTCTTGGAGGATTGGTGCCGGCTTGCTGAATTTTGGGTCGAGGGTTTTCTCAATCAGGTTGTTGGTTTCTTTCTTTATTCTTTGCACATCACGTGTTTGAGTTTTTGCTTCAGTGAAGATATATGGCGAACTGGGCTGTTTCTTGTGGTGTTGCATATATGGGTGATTTGTTGGAGTTGATTAAGGCTGATGCCAAGATTTGTTGACAATAGCAGAATTATATTTGTGGTGTGATATGATTGAAGTTGTTCATTTGTGACATTACTGAAATTTTTAGCTTTTGAAGTATATACATATAGAAGGCCGATGCCAAGAAGTAGTATCTTGAAGTGGTGATCATTGTTGAAGTTTGGAGTTAAACAAATTGGTGATTGAGATTGTTTGTTTGTCAGTAATACGTGATAAAGATGTCTGATAAATCAGTACGCATTGAAAGTTTGCTTGGTATGTTAACTGTGAAGTTGCAAGATGACAATTTTGTTAAGTGGAATTATCAGTTTCAGTCTGTTTTACGAGGGTATGATTTCTTTGAATTTTTTACTGGTGAGTCTCCTTGTCCACCAAAGTTTGTGATTAACACTAAGAATGGAGTGACTACTGAAATCACAGCAGCTTATAAATCTTGGGTTCAGAAAGATATGGCACTATTGAGTCTATTAATTGCTACTTTGTCGGATGATGCTATGGAATATGTAATAGGGTGTAAAACGTCTCATGAAGCTTGGGTAAACTTACAAGATAGGTATGCGTCTGTGTCAAGGGCTAGGATTAATCAACTCAAAATTGAGTTTCATACAATTCAAAAAGGCAGTGATTCTGTTGACAAGTATTTGCTTCGGTTGAAAGCCATTCGTGAACAGCTTGTGTCTGCAGGGGAGAGGATTACTGATAATGATGTTGTTATTTCTGCTTTATCTGGATTACCATCGGAGTTTGATATTGTAAAGGCTGTAGTTTTAGCAAGGGAGACTTCTATTCCACTGAAAGATTTCAGAGCGCAGTTGATTGGTGTTGAATCTACTATGGAAGCAAGGGTAACTACTCTGGCAAGTGGCATGGCTGCAATGTATGTTCAAGGAGATAGAGTTACAGGTGGTCATCAGAATTCCGGGTATTCACAAGGAGAGAGTTCAAATGCTGGTTCACGAACTGGTGATACTCAAGGCTATCAAGGGAACAACAGGTTTCCAAACAGAAATGGTTATAATAATTCTCAGGGGTCTAATACTTCTCAGAACTATAACAGAAGTGGCTATGGGTCTTTCAATAATTCAAGGCCTTATTACAATGGGAATAGACAGAGATGGGGAAACAACTCTAATAGTTCTTCTACTGGGAATAGGTCCTCTTGGAGTGGTAATACTACCTTCAAAACAGGTCCTATAGTTGAATGTCAGATTTGTTCTCGCAGAGGTCATACTGCTGCAACCTGTTCGAATATGAGTGATGGTTATCAGGTAATAATCTGTCAAATTTGTGGAAAGAAAGGTCATCATGCTCTGGATTGTCGACATAGGAATAACTATTCCTATCAGGGGGCACCTCCACCTCCTTCTCTTACTGCATTTTCTGCTCAAGCTCCATCTCACATGACTGCTGCCGAATATGGTCAGAATGTTCAGCATCTCTGCAGCTGATACATGGGTGTTGGACACTGGTGCTTCACACCATATGACATCTAATCTTGGGAATCTCAATCAACCTGTGCAGTATAATGGTGATGAGAAAATCACTATTGGTAATGGGGAAGGTTTGACTGTTAATCATATTGGTTCTACAACCCTTTCAACTCCACAACATTTACTGTTTCTCAAGAATGTCTTACATGTTCCAACCATTACTGTTAATCTTTTATCTGTTAAGAAATTGTGTGAAGATAATCATTGTTGGTTCATATGTGATGAGAGTGTATTTTTTATACAGGACAAGGCAACAGGAATGATGTTGTACCACGGCCAGAGTAGGGGAGAGCTATATGAGATTCCTGTGACTGTGTTTTCAAGAAGATTGGTTGCTGGTCAAAATAAAGCTGTTGCATTACTTGGGAAAGCTGTAAAGACTTCTGTTTGGCATAAGAGGCTTGGGCATCCATCTGCAGAGGTGCTTGCTGTTATGCTTAGAAATGTTGGACAGCATGTGAATGCAGATTCATCACCTTCTGTTTGTTCTTCATGTCTTTCTGGAAAAATGTGTAGACAACCCTTTCCTGTCAAAGAAACTAGGGCTAGTTCTATGTTTGAAAAAGTACATTCTGATATTTGGGGGCCTGCTCCAGTTAAGTCTTTAGAAGGGTTTAGATACTATGTAAGTTTTGTGGATGAGTTCTCAAGATTTGTATGGATCTTCCCTATTATCAATAAATCAGATGTTTTCTCAGTATTTGTCAAGTTCTTTGCATTTGTTACAACTCAGTTTAATTCTGTAATTAAGTGCTTACAGACAGATGGAGGTTCTGAGTATTGAGTAACAGATTTCAGTCCTTTTTGGCACTCAAAGGCACTGCACATTCCATATCATGTCCTTACACACCTCAGCAGAATGGTCTTGCTGAGAGGAAACATAGGCACATCGTAGAGACAGCCATCACACTTTTAACCGAGGCTGCAGTTCCATTACAATTCTGGAATTATGCTTGTAATCATGCTGTATTTCTGATCAACAGAATGCCGTGTAAGGTTTTGGGGATGAAGTCTCCATATCAGATTCTGTTTAAACAAGACCCTGTGTTGCATACATTGAAGATATTTGGATCTGCAGTTTATCCATTCTTAAGGCCGTATACTAAACATAAATTGCAACCTAGGTCGAAGCAATGTGTTTTTCTTGGTTTTGTGGCTGGATATAAAGGGGTAGTCTGCTATGATTTGAGTAGTACTAAACTAGTATTGTCCAGACATGTGGTGCATGATGAGACTATATTCCCATTTAAACCAAGACTGCAGTTGTCGTCTGGGGAGTTCCATAAGGTCCAGAGTACAACAATGTCTCCAATCATGGTTCAAATACCCTGTTTTGCCTCTGATTCCACATCATCTTCAACCCATGCTGAGTCATCTGCCAATCCAGATATTATGGAAGGTCATTCAGTGGATAGCTTACAGGTTCCCAGATCATCAAGTCCAGTTTCTCAGGATCTCAATGCCCCTACTCATAGCTCTCCTACTCTCTCAACATCCACTCCAGGTACAATATCATTGTTGCCTGTCCATAGTCCTTCCCAGTTAGAGGTAATACTACCAATCTCTTCTCCTGTGGTTGAAAGTAGTGCAGAATCATCTCACAATATGGTCACCAGGTTGAAGTCAGGTGCCATTTCCAGAAGATCTTACACAGGTTATATTGGTTCATTTCCAGAATTACAAACTTTACAGATGGATAATGAGTGTGATTTTACTGGAGGGTTTTCATTTATTGCTGCAATAAAGGATGTGGAGGAACCATCAACATTCCGAACAGCTTCTACAAGTCCACATTGGCAAAGTGCAATGCAAGAAGAGTTCAATGCACTCAAAACTCAAGGAACTTGGGAATTGGTTCCTTCTCCACCTAACAGAACCATTATTGGCAGTAAGTGGGTATATAAGGTTAAGAAGAATCCTGATGGAAGTATATCAAGGTATAAAGCCAGACTTGTGGCTCAAGGTTTTTCTCAAGAACCAGGTATTGACTACTCAGAAACTTTTAGTCCTGTAGTACGACACACTACTGTCAGACTCATTTTATCCTTGGCAGCTATAAATAAATGGGCATTGAGGCAGTTAGATATCAAAAATGCATTTCTGCATGGTGACTTGCAAGAAGAGGTGTATATGAAGCAGCCTCAAGGGTTTGTTGATCAAACTAAACCCCATTATGTCTGTAAGTTGATTAAATCGTTGTATGGGTTGAAGCAAGCCCCTCGGGCATGGAATTCAAAGTTCACGACCTATTTACCAGCTTTGGGATTTGTACCCTCTTCATCGGATACCAGTTTATTTGTGAAGAATGATGACAAGGATATGGTGATTCTTTTACTATATGTAGATGACATCATTTTGACAGGATCAAATGCTAGCAAAGTTCAGCAAGTTATTGATGATTTGGCAGGTGTTTTTGACTTAAAGGATATGGGCAGACTTACTTACTTCCTGGGACTTCAGATTCATTACAAGGAAAATGGAGACATATTTGTGAATCAATCAAAGTATGTTAAAGATCTTATTCATAAAGCTGGAATGGACTCTTGTAAACCTGCCAATACACCATGCAAACCTCACAGTCAAATGCTCTTGCATGAGGGAATACCATTGCAGGACTCTACATTGTACAGAAGTTTGGTTGGTTCCCTGCAATATCTCACATTTACACGTCCTGATATAGCTTATGCTGTGAATTCAGTGTGTCAATTTATGACTGCTCCAACAGATATACATCTAATTTCTGTCAAACGAATTATTCGTTATCTTCAAGGCACTGCAGAGTGTGGAGTTACATATGTAGCTGATACTGACATACATTTGACAGCATTCTCTGATGCTGATTGGGCTGCTGATTTGAACACAAGACGATCTGTGACTGGTTATGTGGTTTATCTTGGTGGGAATCCAATCTCGTGGCAGTCAAAGAAGCAACCCTCCGTCTCTCGAAGCTCTACCGAGGCAGAGTACAAGGCACTTGCTCATACTGCAGCAGATGTAGCCTGGATTCGGCTCATTTTGAAAGATTTGGGAGTTCCATTACCGTTTCAACCGACTATATTCTGTGATAATAAATCTGCAATAGCACTCAGTGCTAATCCGGTGTATCATTCGAGAATCAAACACCTTGATACGGATTATCATTTTGTCCGTGAAAGGGTGCATAATGGTGATTTGTTGGTTGAGTATCTACCCACTGATGAACAGACCGCTGATATCCTTACTAAAGGATTACATAGTCCGCAGTTCACTCGTCATTGTTTCAATCTCAAACTTGGTTTCCCTAGTTGAGATTGAGGGGGGATGTTGACTGATATTGACTCAAGTGAATGCCACATAATCTGCCATGTCATCTATATTTCTGTTAAAAGTTAGTTAGGATGGTTATGTGTGGCTTACACAGTAAGCAAGGTAGTTAGACTACTAGAGGAATATAAAAGGCCGATGGCAGCCTAGTGTTTGTATGAAATAAACATTTGATCAATACAAAACCTTTCATATTCTTTCTAAGCTTTCTTCTAGATTCTCTATATTTCTTCTTCTTTCTTTCTTTCTTCTGCAGTTCTGATCTTCATTGTTAAGAGGGATCTCAAACTCCTTCTGGTGTGCGTCATCGAGCACTGCATCAAGGGTTAACAACGTCAGCTTGAATTTCTTCTTCAGGAGTGACTTTTCAAGCTTCTTTGGCCCAAACATGTCCCTGATTTCGCGCGAATCAATCCGTTTGCAGAGCTGCTGGATGGAAGCTGAGAGAGAAGCCTCTCCGGCGACCAAAGCTGCAGCCATTTTTGGCAAATAAGTTGAGATTCTAGCGTCTTCGATTGCATTGACTTGGAGATATTATTGTTCGCACGGTTACGTGTGCGGTGGACTATGGACTCAATTTCTCTTAAAGTGTGTCTGACTTAGGCATCAAAATGCCGTCTAGCGAATGCCGCATTAGGATTGGTCAATTGATCTTTCAATATTTTTTTATTTTGGAATTTTTTGTCAGTTCTACCTCATAGAAATAATTTTAAAGTGAAAGCACAATTTTTTACTCATTTCTAATATAATAATACATTAAAAGTAAAATGAGGTAACAAAATTAGTTTTGAAGTAACCAAATACATTTTTCTGAATATATTTACATTTATTCGTTATGTATGATCACTCTGATCTAAAAATTCGGACTATAGGTGACTGACCACAATGGTTAACTGTAAGTAGGGGTGGTTCGGTATGGGATCCCATACCGAAATCCTTGTCCCGATTCCCAAACCAAAAATTTCGGGAATTCCAATTTCAATACCGATCCCAAACCAAATTTTCGGGAATCCTAATTTTCGGGAATCCCGAAATAGTTTTGAGATTTCGGGACAAATCGGGAATCCCGAAATGATTTTGGGCTTTTGGGCTTTTGGACTAAAATATTATGTTTTTGGGCTAAAATTGAACCTTTTAACAATTTTGGGTTGCAATCTGCTAAGAAGCCCGTTGCAATATGTGCCAATTGCAAGACTATGTCAATTTAAATGTAGATGCTACAAGTGCAAGACTCTGCCAATCTGGATTCAAATGTAGATGCTACAATTGCAAGACTCTGTCGATTTAAATCATTCATATAGAAATATGTGCAACTATTGAAGCCTTCATTTTCTATGGACTCTATCGATTTAAATATATATTTAAAAATTAAATAATATATTTTTTTTTTTCGGTTCGGTTTGGGAATACCGAAATCCCAAAAACTTGAGACCGATTCCCGTACCGAAATTTCGGGATCGGTTCGGTATTGGGTACCGAAATTTTCGGGAATTTCGGTTTGGGATTTTTTCGATTTGGTTTCAGGAATTTTTCGGTTTGGTTTGGGATTTTTGGGATTTTTTTCCAGCCCTAACTGTAAGCATTTGAAAATTAAGGAAGGGCGCCTAGATTTGCTTAGGCACCTGTCTTGGCAGCCACTTAGGTCGCATACTCTCACTCAAAAGAAAAGAGATCACTTTTATTTTGTAAATTTTTTTTTTTTGTAAGAGACTTGTTAAATATTTGGATGAACAACCATTATATTCTGTTTCCCCATATTTTCATTATGTTCTAATACTTTCTAATTTATGTCATTTTATTTTTCAATTTATATATTTAACACAATTATGTATTTTTTAAATATAAACATGTACTTATTTATACAATACGTAATAAGTTTACTTAAATCCATGCTTACGCTCCACTTAGCCGCTAGGCATTAAACCCCATCTGCCGCTCAACTAGCGGCGTGTCTTTAGATACTTTTGTCTGAATAGAAGTGGGAAAGAAATTGAAACAATTCTTTTTAATATGTGGTAGAGAATTCCTACTTTATTACGGATTAAGTCTAGAGAATGACCTTTACCTTGGCAAGGTAGCCATTCCTCCAACTCCGGCATCTATTGAACTCCAGCTTCTTGAGAGATTGAAATGGCTGAATTAAAGAAGCTCCATTACCCCTGTAGAACTCAACACCAATACTCTTGATAGATTTCATCCTTTCTATATATAGCTCTTTGAGAGCAGGAAGCCGCCCAACTGGTGGCAACGACAAACAAGTACTGCAATCGCTGAGATGCATGACTTGTATGTTGGAGAAGGAAGAGTCTCCCAACCAATCTGGAAAGCTGGTTCCACCATAAAATTTGATGGTCAGCTTCACCAGATTTACCGAAGGTTGTAACATTTTAAGTACGTCTCTCTGTCATGTAGTCATCTGCAGCTTTAGCTATCAAAAAATCAGACAAAGACTTAGTGCAATATTTGCAGAACTCTGCGAATAATACTCCATCTTTGTCACTTAAATGTGGCTTGTTTTATTTGAAGCAAGTACTGAGATTAGAGACATTTGCAGAGACATCACCTGATGAGACCTCTATATATTTACAGATAATCGTCATTCATACTTCGGCTTAATTCTAGGTAGCATGTCTTTACCAATCAGTCTTTGTCTAAGCTGTATGTTCACCGGTCTCATCTGTGGTCTGCATTGCTTTCCTACTTAATCTTGTAGCAATCAAACATATGAGAAAGATGGCAGGCAAAAGGGACAGTTTGATAGGATTATCAGTGCGCCGGATGTAACAAACGTATTGAACTATCGAGCAAACACACTGAGTGATGCCTCCGACTAAACCAAAAAGTTCAATGACAGAACCAAAAAGCATGTAACATCCCCTCTTCCTCCAAACCACATTATTTTTCCTACCCTTGTAAATCAGCTCACATATGCAAGTGAGTAGAGCTGCAATAGCCAATAGCATTCCAAACAGCGCATACCCCGGCCTTCTTGGGGACGAAGCCTGATCAAAAGCAGCTGATAAAATCTCCATGCAAAGGCTAGTGACTAAAAAGATCCACTCTGCTGAATTTGCCTGCATAACAAATTAGTAATGAGTTCAATTAAAACTTCAGAGATTTACCAATAATGCAAACGAAAGGGCTAAACTGTATTTTTATCCATCAAATTGAATACTATATTGTTAATTGATGAAATTGCAACCAAAATCGGATTTTCTCCACGTAGTTTGACGGAAACATCGCATGTTGGTTACATCAAAGGTTAACTGAAGAAAATTCTAAAACCGCTAGCAGAATGACTAACATGTGGTTCCACTTGATGAACGCCTAAATTTGAAGGAAATGCGGTTTTGGACTCAATCGTAATCGTTACTCAACAACCGTCTAGGTATTGCTTTGAGTGCTAAAGTAGAAACTGTTGTTCAGAAACTGAAACATGGTTCAAATTGAAAGAGCGAAAACTGTAGCATGTAGCAAAACAAAAGTATTGGTTAACTATATGTGATGAAGGGCGCTTATGCAGTCGGAGTACCTCTGTCCTAGCAGAGTGGCGTTTTTGATGTGATCCTCTCCCCTTCTGCCTTAATTGTTGTAGTAAACAAACTGGGAGAATGCGAGCAATGGAGGGTAGCTCCCAAATATTGGTATGTAATATGTGATGCCATTCCTCAGAACCAGAAGTTGTGCCTCGTAAGAGACCCCCTAGTGCTCGTGCAATTAAAGGCAACCCATTGCACTTACGTATTGCAGTTTCCCTATCAGTTTCTCGAATGTTTGAATGTTCAACGATGTTACTGTCTCCCAAAGCATGTTTTAAAATCAACGACCAACAATCTTCATCGGACAGCGGCTCTAAATAGTGTGTAGGTACATTGCGCACGATTTAAGCAACTGTTTCACTCCGCGTTGTTATCATGACCTTACTTCCCCCTGCCGCGTGGAGAAAAGGAACCTGCAGGAGATTCCAATTATGATAGTTCACATTCCAGAGGTCATCCAACACAAATAAGAATCTCTTTCCCCTCACTTGGTGTTTTAGTTGGACCTGAACAAAATTTTCCAATAGTTGGACCTTAACAAAATTTAGATCGTTATGTCACAAACAGTCGAAGTGATTGACTCGAGCAGGGTTTTAGTGACCCTAACAGCATCAAAATCTTCGGAAACGCCAACCCAAGCTTGAATATCAAAATGCTCCTTCACTCTTTCATCGTTGTAAACGAGTTTAGCAAGTGTTGTCTTACCAATCCCGGTCATTCCTACTATTGTAATGACAGAAACATTATTCCTGCTCTCAGCATCAGAGATCAACAGTCTTGTCAACTCTTCTTTATCACCATCTCTACCAACTAAAGAAGATTTCACCAAACAAGTTGTTGGCCTTTGTGAAACCTTCCGAACACCCTTTCGGAGACCAAGAACATCCTTTTCGTTTGCAAGGAATTTTAATCTATGATATAACTCCTTTATCTGATCATTCATGCGTTGGTAAAAACGACTGAAAGGCAAAGAGAGGAAGTTCCACACCTGAGTTACAACGGACTGATCTTCTGCTGCCATCTTTAGCCGGAAAGCTTCCGCATCGACCTCATACAGTAGGACCCCCACATCATAGACCGCTTCTCTCAATTCATCAAGCCAGTTTCCGACGGAGGGGATCTCAAACTCCTTCTGGTGTGCATCCTCGAGCACTGCATCAAGGGTTAACAACGTCAGCTTGAATTTCTTCGGGAGTGACTTGTCAAGCTTCTTTGGCCCAAACATGTCCCTGATTTCGCGCGAATCAATCCATTTGCAGAGCTCCTGGATGGAAGCAGAGAGAGAAGCCTCTCCGGCGACCAAAGCTGCAGCCATTTTTTGCAAATATGTTGAGATTCTAGTGACTTCGATTGCATTGACTTGCAGTCTTGCAGATATTGTTGTTCGCACGATTACGTGTGCAGGTAGCTGTGGACTCAATTTCTCTTAATGTGTGTCTGACTTAGGCATCAAAATGCCGTCTAGCAAATGCAGCATAGTCAATGGATCTTTAATTTTTTTTTTTTTTAATTTTGAAATTTTTTATCAGTTCTACTTCACAGAAATTTACATCCACAACTACAAATTTTAAAGTGAAAGCACACTTTTTTGCTCATTTCTGATATAATAGTACATTAAAAGTAAAATGAGGTAACAAAATTAGTTTTGAAGTCACCAAATACATTTTTTCTGAATGTATTTACATTTATTCGTTATGAATGATCACTTATATCTAAAAATTCTGACTATAGAACGGTTAATTATAAGCATTTGAAAATTAAAGAAGAGTGCCTGTATTTACTTAAGCACTCGTCTTAGCAACCACTTAGGTTGCATACTCTCACTCAGATAAAAAAGAGATCACTCTTATTTTGTAAATTATATTTTTTTGATAAATTGGAAGAGACTTGTTGAATATTTGAATGAACATCCATTATATTCTGGTTTCCCATGTTTTTATTATGTTCTAGTACTTTCTAATCTGTATGTCATTCTAGTTTTCAATTTATGTATCCCAATACAATTATGTATTTTTTAAATATAAACATACACTTATTTATACAATATATAATAAATTTACCTAAATCCATGCTTACATCGTGCTTAGCTGCTTAGACCATCTCCAATGGTTAGGCTAAAAGTCAAATATTTTAACCTGGAAAATTTAGCTCTTAACCCAGAAACCGCTTTTAATTTCCAACCGTTCTGGTCTAAAATTTTAGCTTTGGATTATTAAATAATGAATTTAGGCTTTTTTTTGTTTAATTAAATTTAAAAAAAATAAATATGTAGGCTATCGTAAATTAATTTTATGAACATTTTAATATAAAAAAGGTTAAATTCTGATAAATATTGAAAATTTTAAATTTCGATTTATGGGCTAAATTTTAGGAGGAATCTGACTTTGGTTTAGCATTTAGCATTTAGTTCAAAATTTCTCCATGGGTTGGGTTGGAGAGAAAATTTTGAAAAGGAATTTAGCTTTCAAGTATTAGACCCATCCGCCGCTGCTCGACCAGCGCGTAGTATCGCGTCTTTTAGATACTTCTGTCCGAGCCTCGGAATAAAAGTGGGAAAGAAACTGAAACAATTATTTTTACCATGTGGTAGAGAATTCCTACTTTATTACGGATTTGCCCCCCTCCTTTTTGATGAGGCTGCCTCTGGACTTCTCATCTTCTCGTGGAGTTGGATAAACATCCGCCTTCAACAAAAACCTTTGCAAATTCTCTTCCTTTCTGTCATCCCAGTACAAATTCGTCCTCCACCGACTCAATTCTTCCTTCCCCTTTCAATTTCAAAACATTCCCAAATTCCAATTCCAATCAATTGTCTAAAAACCCTAGATCCCCTAACCCTCCTCCGCCTTCAACCAACCTCCGAATTAGGGTTTCTGCTCCCCGATCCCAGAGGTACGACCAGAGCTTGAACGATAGCCATGGACGATAGCTGTGCGGTGTGTGCCGATCCTCTCGAATGGGTCGCATACGGTGCCTGTGGACATCGCGAAGTCTGCTCCACCTGCGTCGTTCGTCTCCGCTTCATCTGCAACGATCGCCGATGCTGCATCTGCAAGACCGAGTCGGACGTCGTTTTTATCACCAAGGTACTGGATTTTCCTTTTATCTTGAGTTAAAAGATTATTGCTTTTAGCTTAGGATTTTGTGCTGAAACTTCCAATCATAATTGTGTGTTTACGTCGTTTTGATAAGTGAATTTTCTTTGAGAAGGAATCTTTTATAAGCTTAGCAGCTGGGAAGATGCGTCCTTTCTTGTAAGAGATTGAATGTTATGTTTTTCTGGGCTGTTGCATTCGATTCGCTTGTTCGGGTTGAATTCTCATGGTATCTAGTGACTTATCGTTGTGGTGTATATTGGGTTCTCTTGCCTTTCAATTGTCCATGTATCTGTTTATTGTGAAAAGATTCTAGCTTTATATAATTCAGCAGATACATTATTCAGTGCCTGCTCCGTTGTAATTTATTATAACTTGGATCCATTAACGTTTTCACACTTTCTTGATTCTTTTCTGCTTCTGGTTTCCTTATGTGGTGTGCCTTTTTCTATCTTTTCAGGCTTTAGGAGATTATACAAGGATGATTAATGATTTCTCAGTCTTGCCAAATGATGTAAGGGAGGGTCGCGTGGGATCGTATTGGTACCACGAGGACACTCAAGCATTTTTTGATGATTTGGACCACTACAAGATGATCAAGGCAATGTGCAAGCTTTCATGTAGCGAATGTGACAAGATGGATGAGCAATCAAACGATGGCCCCAAGCGTCGCGGGAGGATTCGGAATCTTGATCATCTGAAGAATCATTTATACCACCAACATAGGTTGTGGATGTGCTCTTTATGTTTGGAAGGGAGGAAGGTAAAATCCATTATACTGAGACTTGATATTTATCGTATATGTACATTTCAAGCAGCGCTTTCTCTCTATTATCTTCTTTGTCTTCTTAGGTACTATCATTTTTATTTGATTTTTTATTTTATTCATCTATTAATGTTATGCAGGTGTTTATATGTGAACAAAAGCTATATACGAGAGCACAATTGAATCGGCATATAAATACAGGTGATTCTGAAGTGGATGGAAGTGAGAGTGAAAGAGGTGGCTTCATGGGACATCCTATGTGTGAATTTTGCAGAACCTCATTTTATGGGGATAATGAGCTGTACTCCCACATGACTACTGATCACTATACTTGTCATATATGCCAAAGGTAACCGACCGTCTTTCACTTCAAGAGTGCTTTGTTTTGATTGTAATTTTAAAATGTTTATGCTCATATGAGATTTTGTGCTGTTCAATGCAGGCAGAATCCTGGGCAATATGAATATTATAAGAATTATGATGACCTGGAGGTGAGTTATTAGTGTTGTATTTATTTTGTATTCTCTTTCTTCCTGTTGTCTTTTATGTGTTTTGAATGCTATTTCATTGTATGTCACAGATGCACTTCCGCCAAGGTCATTTCCTATGTGAAGATGAGTCGTGCCTCAGCAAAAAGTTTGTTGTCTTCCAATCTGAGGCGGAAATGAAGGTGACTTTAATAAAATGTGAGAAATTTCTGTGTTCCTGCCCTTGTAGTATTTAATTCTTGACTTCCCTTTCTTTTTATTTTTCAGAGGCATAATACACTTGAACATGGAGGTCGCATGTCTCGTTCTAAGCGTAATGCTGCTCTGCAGGTAAGTGTACTATTTTTTTTGTTCTCTGCAATTTCCTTTGTGCATCAAGGTTGGGTTCTTCTCCTCTCATTTTTGTTGTAATTCAGTTTTATGCAATAGAATTAATTTTCCTCGTATATCTGTAACAGATACCAACTAGCTTCAGATATCAACGGAGTAGTGAACAAGATCATCGACGTGGAAGAGGCGGAAGAGGTGGAAGAGGTCGGACATTTCGTCCTGATTCTTCTGAAAATCAACTTTCTATGGCTATTCAAGCAAGTTTGGAGACTGTTCATGCTGATAGAACATACGATGACCCTTCATCCTCCAGTGTGCAAGTGCCTCCAGATATTCGGGATACTGGCGATATTGATCCAATCACTGATTCATTTGAATCATTAAGTACAACAGATGCTGAAACATCTTCAAGGTACCGTCAAGCTGTGGGGCCCATTTCTAGGAATGGGCGTTTGGAAGAATCTTTCTTTCCTCCCCTCTCAACGGCACCTGGCAACAGTTCAAACCCCAAACAAGATTCAGATGGTTTGCCTAGCAACACCATGGCATCGCATCTCCGCCGGCAAAACCATAAGGTGGCTGTTAATAGCTCTGGAAAGGCTTGGCCAGCAGCAACGCGTGGGCCTGTGGCTGTTAGTAGTTCTGAACAGGATTGGCCAGCAGCAAC